AGATGTTTATAAGAGACAGTATATATATATATATATATATATATATATATATATATATTATTCTGTCACTTTTTCTCGTATTTAGGGATGAAAATTGTTGGGTCAAGTACTATTCAATGTAAAAAAAAATTATTCGTTAGCAAGTCGAATGTTTATTTAAAAAAATATATGAATATTTAAAAAAAGAATATTTTATAAATTTTTAAAATAAAATAACAAAAAAATAATATAAATTCAAAATTAATTTTAATCTAATAAAATATAAATTAAATTTTTATTTTAATTAAATTAAATTTAATAAAATATAAATTATATTTTTATTTTTATTTTTATTTTTATTTTTATTTTTATTTTTATTTTTATTTTGTTTTCACAAATATGAATAGTATGATACCAACGTTTTATCTATTATTAAGAAATATTAAAATACTTGTTATATGCTATCAACAAATAATAAAATTTATGGATACTAATTATTTGCTACAAATTTTTATCTATGCATACTTATAACACGTGTATTTTTACCATCTACTCTTATTAAAAAAAACCTTTAATATGTTAGGATTGGTGTTTAATAAATGATAAAATACTAAAGTTAAATAAGTCAAACAAAAACATAACAACAAATTTTTGAAGTAAACAAATCCAAAAGTTAAATTTAAATTACTTTCATCTATGAAGCAAATTTGAACACAATGTGTGTTGTTCATAAATAAAACTGAAAATTGAAGTATTAAATTACATTCACAAGCTTGCTTTCCCAATGATCTTATTATTGAGTAAATCCAAAGATCTTCTGGTACAACCCTAATAATCCGATTACACCCTTATTAAAATATCAAAGATCTGGAAAATACAAGTTGATTTTGAAAATTTTCAACTCTAGATTTTGTCAGAGTTTATTTTTTATTTTAAAGTTTTCAATCCATGTAATCTCACTTCATTCATGATATCTTAAAAATATTTTTCAAATACCAACAAAAAGATTTCATTTGGTCATATTTCAATCAAGTTTAACTTGATTTTAACTAAAATAATTTAAGTTTTACTTCAACCAAAATAATTTTTCTAAACTTAAATTATAACATATGTATTGGGAGTTGAAATAACAAACTTTATAATTACCTTTAACATCACTTTATTTAAAAATTATGTTTACGTAATTAGTTTTGATCTCAACGTATATAGGTAAAAAATTACTGTTAATGTCTAAAAATATATATGATCTCAACGTAGTAGAAGTTATAAGTTAGAGATTTTATACTAACTAGAAATAAAATAAATATAAAAATAATCTTTTTTTTTTTTAAGAATGAAGTAAAAAAGACTGTTTCAATTAGTTTACTTTAAAATTCTAACACGTGAATATTTTGAAATATAAAACTAAAACTTGAAAAAGAGAAATGGACGAAAGAAGGAGGAAATTGGAGGCAATTAATGGCACAACGCAGCATTCAAGATGTCTTCTTCTATTTTGTCCACCTAATTAATTTCTTCACATTCTTCTCTCCTTTCCTCCTTTTAAGCACATGCAAATCTAACACGACTTCCTTCCATTCCACACACGCACCATAAATAATACTTTCTCGTACAGATTACAAACATCTTTATGCCAATTTTTAAATATTGCTATTAGATCCACTAAATAAACCAGTACTATAGTTGAAGTATTTAATAGATGCACCCTAACAAATCTGGATTGTCAAACCAACCCCGCTATTTAAACCTTAATTTCAATACCGAATTAGATAATTAGAGTTTTAAATCAGAGCAAGGAATACTCTGCTCAGAAACGGCGAGCACGCCACCAGAATAACCATCAACAGCGGCAGAAGCAGAACCAGAAGCACAAAATCGTTAACCTGACTCCTTTTGGGATTCTCCATGCCGCTGGGCCGAGGAGGAGGACTGTTGGGCCGAGGAGGAGGACTGTTGGGCCGAGGAGGAGGACTGGTCCTCCTCTGCCTCGGCCCGTTGGTCTGGTCATGCGTGCTTCTAGAATGGGCATCCTTCAAACTCTTGTAAGCCTCCGAGATTTTATTGAACGCGTCTTGTGAGCCCCGCGCTTTGTTCTTTTCGGGATGAACCTTCAGCGAGAGCTCCCGATACGCTTTCCGAATCTCTTCGACGGAGCAGCTCTTCTCCAATCCAAGAATCGCGTAGTAGTCGCTCTTTCCTTCGATTTCCCTAATCAACCGAACGTCATTCTCCGTGTAATTCGCGTGACTCATCATCTCCCCGTTGAAATGACTAATGATGCTGAATGAAATTGATTGAGCAAAACCTGATAACTTAAGATCGATTCATTGAAGTTGTTGAGAAGCTTTATTGTGGATAACTTGGTGGGTTTGCTATCTAGTCAAGTTTAGCTCACTAGTGCTCGTATTGTGTGATAATTGATTGATGGGTTAGTTAATTCTATTTTATGTAGAAATAATTGACTATAATTAAGTTTGTATTCCAAATTATTAATACTGTGTGCTTTTGTCTAACTTTTCGTAGTTTAATATTTGAACTTTAGAGCAATTTACATAATAATATATATAGTCGTATTAAATATAATCAATATATTGAAATTTATTATTTATGTATTATGTAGTAAATATAATCAATATACTGTAGAGATGAAAATATAGAACGACCAATTATATTAAAATAAGAATTTTTTTTTTTTTACCGAGTAATTTCTCAGGTGGATTGACTGAATTATTTATCTATTTTGAATCCTAGAAAGGAAAAAAAATTATTTATAAAAACTCTTCGATGTTTAAATTGATAAGGGATTTTAATTGAATATTTGTGATTAAAATTAATAAAGATGGATTATAATGACATATATTTATCGTTTTTTTAGGTCTGTAGATATAAAATGTATATTAATATATAAATATTACCAATGAATTATGTTTCTATCATATATCACATATTATCACATATAAATTAAATATTATATATATTTTTATTTTATTGCAGGGTGCTTAAAATATATCTAGATTTTATATTTGCATTCTTAACTATTGGACTTATTTAGACATGATAACATATACAATTAATTGTAATAATGGATCAAGTAGGTACATTTATACTAGTATATAAAGATATTTCTTCTTTGATATACACATTTTCTTTTCGATCGTATCCTTTAAGTATTTTTTTCGTTTTTTTTTCAATTTGTTTTTCTTCCTAAAATGTAACTATTTTTAAAACTAAAATAACTATTATAATAAAAAAATCATCTATAAAAATAATTAAACGTTACCTACAATAATATTTTAAAAATTATTTAAATTTACTTTTATAATTATACTATTATATAAAAAATATTCTCTCTTTTTTAAGTACACATTTTATTTTCAATTTTTCCTTTTAAGTTTTTTTAATCAAAATAATTGATTTACCAATTTTACTATTTTAAGTTACTATTTTATTTTCAAAATTTAGTCCTTTTTTCTCTATTTGATTGTTTTTTCAAAAATTTAAATATTCTTTTGAACTAAAATAACTATTTATACTAAACATTATCTAAAAAAGTAAACATTATCTATAATAAAATTGTAAAAATTACCTAAATTTACTTTTATAATGATAATGATACTAATTTTTTCATCATAAAAAAGTGAATAGCTACGTACATGTGTTTTCATTAATTATTAATGGAGAAAATTGATCTTGTTTTTTTGACATTGTATAATTTAATATATTTTTTACTCTTAAATTATGTTTAGTAGATATGTTTAATTGAAGTATAACTTTATTTACGTTTTGGAGGTAATTAATACGTTTAACAAGTATTGGAATATCTATTCTTAATTTAAGTCTTAAAATCTTAAAGTAAAAACGAAAATGCTAAACTTCATATATATATTTTTTTTTATAAATTTATTGTTTTAAAGTTTTTGGTTAAAAATGATATAAATCTTATATGTGAATTAAACTCATATTTTTATTAACAGGTCAAAGTCACACTGAAGTTAAACATACCACATTAACCTGTTAAACACTCCTAGTAGGACTGATATCAAACTCTGTAACTTCCATCATATTTTAATTCTCATAATTTTTATTTTAATATAAATGAAAAGTTAGGCCTACCATTTATGGAAATACATTTATTTATTGCCGTTACAGTAGCACAGAGATTAATTTTGCCATCTTTTTTTATTTGTCAATTTTATTGTTCTTTTATATTGTCATTTGTACTTTATATCTAATTTATAATTTAAAAAATGAAAGATAATAGTAATTATTTTTATGGATATGTTGGAAGAAAAGTGGAGATATGTTTGAAGAGGGGGCAAACAAAAGTGGGTGTGTCTATTTGAATATGGAAATGAGAAAAGTTGCAGAGAGAATGGTGGTGAACCTCAGATCTCGTGTCGGTGATGCCTTCCTCTAACTTTTTGACTGTTCACCTCACAAGCTTTTTATCATGCTTTTCTTTGCTTTCTGCCCTTCCCTATACTATATTTCAGCTTTCATGTCGACCCCTCTCTTGTTTATTTGCAGAAAGAAACAGAGCACTCTTATTAGATGCCAAAAAAAACCATAACTTTTTGACGTTGACCATTAAATGTCTTCAAATAAAGTAAAGAGTTTCCAGATCATTTTATACTAAATCAATTCTGCACATTTTCATGGGGCAGTTCTGCGCAGTTACGGAAAAAAAAATGCGTGTTGCTTAGTTTTCTATATGGGGACCACATCAGAGACAATGTAAAAGCAACCATTAGTTGCATTTAAGATAAATCCAAGTACACTATTTGTCTCTCAAATCAAGAGTTATGCCAAGCATCAACAAAGGGGCAAAAAGAATATTCTTCATACAATAGATAGCAGAAAACGCAAAAACAAGCCCACAATCCCGCAACCCAAAAAGAAAAAAGCCACAATCTTCCCACCTCCAAACAATATATACCCATGGGCATGTTGTTTATTTCTCAATAACTTCTACAGTAGCTCAATAGGAAGGTTGTTATTACATAAACTATTCGCTGATGTACCAAAGAAAACAAGCATAGACACATTGGATTTCCATCTTATAATATATTCATCACCCAAGCGATTTTCATTCTTTTATTCATGTGAAACATTAGACAAATATTTGTCTAAAAAAAATTAAACAGATCATATGAAATCTTAGAACACTATCCTGAGGTTTGGGTTGTGTACACTAATAGACCTTAACTGTCTAAGGTGCTTTACCGTTACTTAGCCAAGCCTCCCCTTCCCATATCTGGGCATTGCCTTTCCTCGCAATCAATTATTTACCATTAAAAAAAACCAAAAGGACAGAATTTAAACGAGTTTCAAAAAAACAGTTGGTATAAACAAGTTGTTGACCATGCAAGAAAGTGACCGGAAAACAAAAACTAGAAATAGTATAAAACTACAATGTGTCAATACTGTGTTAGATAATAGAATACCAATTAATGAGCCACGAAGCGTACAAATTTTTAGCAACATGGAACTAGAAAAAGTAAACGTGAAAATGTGTTTGAAGATTTGAAGTCCAACTACGTTGGATTATTTAAACCTATTTTTCACATCCTAATCACTTGAAAGTTTCATATATTGAAAAGAGATTCAGAAACGGGAAGTGCACGAAATTGAAACTGTACGAGTAAGTGATAGGTTTGGAATTGTTTATAGGAGGAGAGATGATAGGTATAACTGAATATGACAGTTATAACCTCCGATAAATGTTCTGTTTTTATTCTTGTAAACTGTTTTTTTCATGTAAACTGCCTATTTTTAAATGATCAATGTAGGGGGAGGGAAAAAGGTTGTTGTTTTCCAAGGAAGTAAAGGGTTGAGGGAGTTGATGACAACTCGAAAGTCCTTCTGTGTTTGATGTTTTACTGTCTTCTACCACATTGGCAGAAACAATGCTGTTCTAATAAAACTTTACCAAGAACTTGTCTTGTTGGTTCTTTAATACTGGTTGAATTGGTATCTAGAGCACGATCTTGATTTTATGGAAGACGCACGTTAGGGTATGGTGCATACCAGAATGGAATCACGCATGGATACTGTCAAAAAGATGATGCAAGAACTGGTTCAAGGTCGTAACTGCCAGGAAAATGAATATAGTGGGAGATTTCGACTCTTGGAAGACATGATTCGTGGGCTAACTGTGGTGGTGGAGCAAATGTCAGAAGCAAAGATTACGTCTGACAATAATTCTGGCATTAACAAAAGCAATGGAGGGAGCAGAGAGCAAGTTCAGGAGCACGCAGCATCCTCCTCAAGATGGAGGAAATTAGACATTCCAATTTTTACACACGAGGAGGCTTATGGATGGACAAATCGATTGGAGAGGTATTTCAGATTAAAGGATGGAGCTTCCATCCCTAACCTTAGACCCTATAAGTATTCCCACAATCAGAAAAATGAGTTTGAGAGGTTGATTGGAGATATGTTGAAGGCTGGTTAGGGATGGAAGATTCAAAAGGATGTGAAGATGAGTGCCGTTATGGAGGACTTGCTGGTAGATCCTACAGCTCATAGCCTTTATGAACTCCAGAAAGGACGGCTATATTACCACGACAAACTGGTTTTGCCTAAACATTATAGTAGAATTCCCACTATAATTCAAGAGTTGCATGAATCTCCTCTAGGAGGACATAGTGGCTATTTTCGCATTCTCAAACGAATTGCAGGAGTGCTGCATTGGGAAGGTATGAGAAAAGACATTAAGGCATTTGTGATGCAGTGTGAAACCTGGCAGAGGAATAAAAGTGAAATGCTAGCTCCCACTAAAGCTAATGGGAAGGATACCATCTTTGTAGTGGTAGACAGACTCACTAAGTATGCCCATTTTTTGCATTATCACATCCTTACACTGCTGCGGATGTGGTTTTTATCAAAGAAGTGGTTAGGCTGCACGGGTTTCCTTCCACAATCATTTCAGATAGAGACCAGCTGTTTTTAAGACAATTTTGAAAGGAACTATTTAAACAGACAGGCACAAAGTTGAAATACAGTGCAGCATACCATCTACAGATGGATGACCAAACAGAAGTGGTTAACCATTGTGTAGAAATGTACTTAAGTTGTATGACAGGGTCTCACCCTAAGATTTGGCCTACTTGGTTACCATGGACTGAATTTTGGTCTAACACTAATTACAATGTGTCATCCAAAATGACATCTTTTAAAGCTCTATATGGCCGTGACCCCCCACTGGATTTGAAAGGGGCAACTATTCCTTCTAAAGTTGCCAGTGTAAATCAATTACAAGAGGAGAGAGACACAGTTTTGAAGGACTTGAAGTACAACTTATGCAGGGCTCAAGAACAGACCAAACTTCAAGCCAATAAACATAGGAGATATGTTACCTATCAAGTGGGTGACTGGGTGTTTCTCAAAATACAACGTTATAGATTCAAGTCGCTAGCTAAACGACCCAATGAGAAATTAGGTCTGCGGTTCTATGGACCTTAACAAATTCTGGAACAAATTGGCCAAGTTGCTTATAAACTGGTCCTTCCTGCACACAACCGCATCCACCCGCTATTCCACGGGTCCTTACTTAAACCCGCTATAACTGCAATGCCCACGTCTCAACCTTTGCATATAGGAGTAGGGATAAGAGGTACAACTGAATATGACAGCTATAACCTCCTGTAAATGTTCTGTTTTTATTCTTGTAAACTGTTTTTTTCATGTAAACTGCCTATTTTTAAATAATCAGTATCGGGGGAGGGAAAAAGGTTGTTGTTTTCCTAGGATGTAAGGGGCTGAGCGAGTTGAGGACAACTCGAAAGTCCTTCTATGATTGATGTTTTACTGTCTTCGACCACATTGGCTGAAACAGTACTGTTCTAATAAAAATCTACCAAAAACTTGTCTTGTTGGTTCTTTAATACTGGTTGAATCTATCAGTAAGTAAGAGGCATTAAATTATTATTTTGGCAATTTTTTTACAGTAAAATGGCATTACCAGAGTCCCACATTTCATAACCAATCACACACAAAACAAATAATCTTAGCAGAGAGAAAAGGAAAATTCACAAACCTGGTCAAAATCAAATTCAATCAGATGATTGCAAGACTTCCTTAATTGGCGAAATAGAAATTCGCCTTAATGAAGCAATATGTTGGTTTCCTTTATCACATATACGCCTACAACTATAAATAACCTCTTACCCTCAAGTAGCTCAGAAAACTCGGGTCTTGAGCTTGTATATAAATGTCCAACACTGATGATACTTTTATGACTTTGACTGGTGTAATTATATGCTGACTTGTTATGCGTCATTAATAATCGCATATAGCATAATAGATAAGCGCATCCATATATCCCTCAAACAATACAAACACATGCTTAAGCACATTCATCAGAGACTTCGCACAGGAAGAAGTGTACAGCAATAGACTGGAAGCTACTCAGTTAGGATACAGCCTATAATAAGAGCCACTCCCACGGATATATTAGATATCCTGAAAAATAAAATGAGCACAAAAACTCAGCAAGGGACACAATACTTCCTTAAGCCATGAAAAAATTACTGATGCTGTAACTTAAGCTGCAAGGAAAGGACACAACAGAAAAGAACAGAGAAAAAGTACATCAAAAGGTGCTAAAGGAAATACAGCCATTTTGAACAATGTATTAAAGACCCTACTTTAAATATATAATATGATATGAAGATTTTAATTCGTTCTTATTACTTTTGTTGAGAAGGGGCAGGGATGAGAATTTGCATCTGGCGTGGCTTGTCAAGGAACTATAAACAGCATAATTATAAAAAGAAGAGCATGACGGTGATAAATTAGAATTGGAATGATAATTGACAACTCAACACAACCATGAAGAAAAGATAAATATAAAACGTTCAATAGTATGTTTTGGACAGAAGTGTTTAGAGTGGAGATACCAAATAAGAGTTTAGTTGTTAATTTTGTTATTTTCAGTTCATGGTCCTAGTTATCTCCAATCTGATGGGGGGTTTTCTTTCTCTTTCCCTGACTGGTCTTTTTACCCTATGCATTGTATCAGAACTCTATAACAACATCTGATTTGTATATGGGTTGACTACCCATTGTACCTCAATTATCAATATATTTCTCTCTTTGCCGATAAAAAAAAAACTCTCACCTATTTGCCTTTCCTCCCAACCAAGTTATGAAACAAGAGGAAATCTATCAACAGTAGCTTCTCTATCCCTTCCCTGCCCTTCTTTAGTGTTGATAATTGAATCATAAGCAAAAGCCTCTTATGTATCTTGCCAATTTGGGCACAAAAATTCGAATCCCCCCTCCACCTCACTTTGGAGGAAGCTCTGTAAAATGGACAGGCTGAATAGGGATAATAAGAATAAACAGAGGAAGAGGACTCTCCCACGTACACCAGGCTCTTGGCCCTCTGATCATGCACAATTGAACCAGTATGGGGGGATATACTTATAAGGGTAAAGGGGAGCAAAAGTAAAGTTTGGTGATCGTAAATTAGTTCTTTCGCATTATTTTCTATGAATTTATATTAAAAAATAGCCAAATCAACACGCAAGAAAGTTCACCACACCCTATAAATCAATGCAAAAAAAAGCTAGGAACCCTGGACCGCAAGCAATAAAGTTATTTCCTCTTATCTCATCCTCACAAAACTTCTCTCGCAGTTCCAATGATTCTTGCAACCAGTAACACACCATATGAATGAATTTATCCAAACCGCTTTTAAGTTCAAAACAATCATAATCCGATAAAAAACAGTGATAAATAAACACATTCCTACCCATGAAAAACTAACCTAATCCGATTAATTCCTTGACCGAAACAATGTGAATAGACAAAACAGTTACCTTCATGCCATGACTGCAAAGTTCTGCAGCTTATCACAGTGAGGAGTGGGCAGCTTCCTATTCCAACTCCGTCTCTGCATCTCCACCTGACAGTATCTCCGAAGCATACTCCTGTAATCCTTTAGCACACTTTCCTCAACCGCCACACGAGCATCACTCCCCACCGGATAATTCCCTTCAAACTCCTGCGATTTCACAAAGAACTGCACCCCGTGCAGCTCAGTCGTTTTCGGAATCTGGTAGTTGTAATGCTTGTGCAAGGAATACTCAGGCTCAGAAAACGGCAAGTACGCGAGAACAATAATAATCAAAAGCGGCAAAAGCTGAATCAGAAGCATAACATTGTGATGCCTCCCTCCCGATCCATCGTTAACCTCAGTCCTATGGGGATTCCCCATGCCGCGGGGCCTGAAAACATGGTTCCTCCCAAACACATCGGAGTGTCCGAAGAAAGCCCTAAATATTTCGTCCGGATCGAACTCGTCTTCAAAGAAATCACGCGTCGTGGTTGCCGTCGTCGTCCTTCTCCGCCTCCGCCGGTAAGCGTTCACCTCGCCGTGGTCGAAATCATCGACGGTTCCGGTCTGGTCATACATCCTTCTAGAACCGTCATCGCTCAAACACTTGAAAGCCTTCGAGACTTTCTTGAACGCGTCTTCTGAGCCGGGCGCTTTGTTCTTATCGGGATGAACCTTCAGCGATAGCTTCCGATACGCTTTCCGAATCTCTTCGACGGAGCAGCTCTTCTCCAATCCAAGAATCGCGTAGTAGTCGCTCTTTCCTTTGATTTCCCTAATCAACCGAACGTTCTCCTCCGTGTAACTCACGTGACTCCTCTCCCCGTTCAAACGTTCTCCCCGCGAAGAAGTACCAGTAGCCTGCGCGCCATGAGCGGCAGTGGCGGAGGACTGAGAATCAAGACCCTCGCACTTCTGTAGCAATGATTGAATCGGCAAATCGCGGTTTAGCCGCTTAGCGATTCTGAGGAATTTGACGGCGCGGTCTTTGTTCCCCGACGCGATTGCTTCCTCGGCGATCCGAACGCAGCGCAATGCTTCGTCCTTGTTACCTTCCATTGCGGAAACAGCTACTTCCCTTACTAACTCGGAATTTGAGTGGAACAGTAGCACATGCTGAATGAAATTGATTGAGCAAAACCTAATTACAATAAATTAAGATCGACAGACATTAAACGTTGCTGTGATTTGTAAATTTTCTGGGGAGATTGTGTTGTTTGCTCGGCACTGAAGGAGAATCTGTATACCAAAACTTTTTTTTCTGGAAGAATTTTTCGTTTTACACTGATAAGTCATTTATAACATCTCACTCACTGCAAATACATTTTCAATTTTTATTTTTTTTAATTATTCGAGCAAGTATGGTTAATTTTATCATAGTAAAAGTAAGAGAATTTTTATGTAATTATTGACAGTGTTTTGATAATGATTAATAATTTTATTGAAGTTGTTGAGAGGCTTGTTGTAGATAACTTGAGTTGGGATGTGAATAATTTATTATAAATTTGGTACGATTAATTGAAATAATCAATTTTATCTCACTAGTGCTCGGATTGTGTAATAATTGATTGATACGGGAGTTATTTCTACTTTATGTATAAATAATTGACTATAATTAAGTTTGTATTCCAAATTATTAAGATTGTGTGTTTGTATCATCTAACTTCAAGAAGTTTAACACGTGAACTTTTTAAGGCAGTTTGCACTGTGATAATGATACTTTGTCAACAAAAATTTTATAATATTTTAACATTATATACGTGTTATTATGTAATCGGTTCATATTAATGTTTATGATTATTATTATTATTGATTGTAAAATAATTTTGAATGGATCACAAAATTACACCTAAATAATGTTAAAATATTATAAAAAAAATATTGTTAAAAGTATCATTGTTGTAATAATATACTGTCGTAATAACTATAATCAATATATTAAAATTTATTATTTATTATTATGCTCCGTGAATTTTAGTTGCTTTTCTGGGTGTGGAGTTAGGTACTACATGACAAGTATAGGTTGTGGATGTTGGGTGTTGTATGATTGGTGTGGTTGTTTTGTAACAGTGTCTCATAATGTTTAAATGTTATTTCATGAAGGCATATTTGTTGTGGCTACAATGACCCAACGACACACTTAATTTTATTTCATAACAGGATTGGCATTTTAAAGAGCACACGGACAAAAAACTTAAATGTAAGGTTTTTTTGTAATGTTTTCTTCTTCTGCTTATCAGCCTTTTGGTTTATGAAATTGTGATTTTATTATTAGGAAACTAATGTGATGACGAAGTTAAATTTATAATATTAAATGAATATGTTGCCAATGCATATTACATCAAATCTAGTCTCCCAAGAGGAAACTTAATAGATAGAGAGATTCAATGTCACTTGAGAGTAAACGTTTACATGAGAAATTATCATTTACTTAAAGTCACTTTCAGTGACCACATGATCCTCCTACATGAGAGTAAACGTTTAACATTATCATTTACAATGTGGCTATATTTCACTGTGATTTAATTTTACATAAATAAAGAAATGAGATAAATATATTTTTAACTTTTAATTTTAATACAAAATTCTTTTAATCTTAAAACCAAATTGAAATTTGTCCTATACAAAATTTTGCTATATTTTAATTTTTAAACTTAAAAAATTAATAAATATAACTATTTTAATCCAATTATATTAATCTTTCTTTATATATAAAATATATAGTTTAACTAAAATTAAAACAAAAACATGTTAAATGATATAAACATTCAAATCTTAATATAAAAGAAATTTGATACGTCCAAAACATATAATATAATTAAATTAAAAACAATTACGTCATTTTATTTTTAAAATTTGAGAATTAAAATATATCAAAATCTAAAAAATAACAAATAAGAATTATATTTGAAAATTTAAGGACCTGAAAGAAATACGTACAGCTAACAATAAAGTATCATATCCTTAATTGGTTATTATTTTGCATTCTTAACTTTTATTAACAAAGAAAATTTCTTTTGTCTGAACAGTTATTATAAAGTTCTCATAATACTTACATTAACATATTTGTCTGAAAAGACTGATCTTTCATGGTGCAATGTCGCATATAAATGCGATTTTGGTATGCTAAAATCTAGAATAAATGTTTATGTTAGTTTTCTTCATCAGAATCGAAAGACTGTTTTTTCCTTACAGATTGTATGGCATCCCTGCGATTCACATCTTTGGAATTAAACATACCAGTACGAGACTTGACTTTAGGAACACTACAAGAACGAAGAGGTGGTGTACCCGTTCCCTTGTTTATTTCCCTGAGCACAGAACGAGCTGTTGCTGCAGCTGCAGCATCTGCCATTGCTGAAGCGACTTTTGAATCACTTGGAAGCTTTTCACTTGCCATACTTTGTCCAACTGCTTGTCCTTGTGTCTTGGTCAGGCTCTTAGAACCATCAGGTGATTGATTTGAACCTGATTTTGGCTTGGTTCCAACCACGGCTTCAGCAACTTTTGCTTTAGCTTTTGCAGCTTCATATTTTTGAATATCATAAATAAGCTCTTTCTGCAGCTGTTTATCAGCAACCAATATGTCGTCAATCTCATTCTTGTAGTCCTTTAGAATAATCCGGAGGCACTCCATGAGAGAACCTATCAGGGGACTATTCTTGGTTTCCAACAGACGTTTTAATTCTATGAAGATGGGGACTGTATTTTGGATAAGGCTCTTCTTGACTGCCTGAGTTACGGCCTTTCCTCTAGCTGCAGTTCCATTGTCTCCTTCTTCCTCTATGTCTGCTGACTCTGATGATGCTCGAGTAGATGGAATGCGTATCTCTTTACAGCCAAGAATTCCAAAAGCATCCTGATCCCACAATTAATGTTAGAGTTAGAACATAAATTACACATGAAATAAGACTATAGTAAAGGCACTGCTGGCTTCTTTCCTATTCCAATACATTCGCATTACCAAGAGTTCACACACACACATATGCTTAGCATTAATGACAACCCGGAGACCACAGCTGGTACATATTAATACCTTTAGAACAGACTGTGCAGTTGCATCTTCTATATTGAGCATACCATCAGAAGCTGCAGCTAGAATTTCTGCACATAACTTGGCAAAGGTTGCTAGAAGATGCTCCGGAGCCATTTGTTTCAGTAAAGAGACATAAATGTGCATCCTTTTGGACCTTGGCTCTTCATCAGTACCCCTGTAAACAATACAGACTTGATATGAATATATAATCTGAAATAAATAGCTGTGTTGCCAATTGCTAATTCGGGGTTCCATTACCTGATGGAAAAACTTTGACTTTCCTTTCGTGACCCATGGGACTCACGGTGTCCATTATGGGCATGACAATCGTTCAGTACAAAGACAGCCTCGACAAAACTATTGTATGCTAAAAGTGGAGACTTGACTGTTGAAAGAAACAAAACAGCTAAAGTCCAATGACAAAGATACTAAATCAAATTATATCACTGCAAACGTAACTATCAAGCTTCACACCTTTCAAAATATTTCCAAAAAGAAAATCCGCTAGCTGTCTTATCTTTTCTGATTCGTCAACAAGTGACAAAAGGAACCGAAGAAATAGCACTCCTCTCCATTTCACATAGTCCCTCTAGACAAAAGAGAAAATATGTTTTAGCAAATAAATAATACTATTACTCCTCTTCCCGTTTAGAAGAGATAAAGGAAAACAAGCCATAAATTAAAATTATTTGACTCAAAAAATACCTGCAACAATCTGGATAGCAATATGAATGTTTGCCTTCTCACGAGTTCACAAGGATCTAAGAGGCACCTTGTGATCTTTGTTATGTAACTGATAACTTCCATGAAAACAGATTAGAATGACAAGAAGAATATATATATATATATATATATATATATATATATATATAGACACACACACACACGTATGTATGTATGTATATAATAAAATTTAAATACTTTGGACCTCTCCCCCAGCTCAATACAAAAATTACTCCTTTGCGTAGTGTACAGTGTGCTACGTGTTTACCATATTGAACAAAAAAAACCTACAATACTATACCCTTTCAAATTCAAAGTCACGTAAAGGCAGTAAAAAGAAGCTTACCAATCAACAAGTGCGGTGTACCGGACACAAAAATCTGCCATCATGACCACAATGTTGTTGCGAAGTGCTGCAGATTCGCTCTTTTCAAGCTCCTACATATATGTATTTTGTAACAGACAATATATTGAGAAGTGAGAAAAAAATATAATAGTCAATGAGGCATAACATAAACATCAATGCAACAGGAACTACCTGTACAAACAGAGGAATATAATTCTTGGCTAGCTTCCCATCAGCAAGGCAAAGCTTGCCCATGGAAAGCCACCCTTGAATATAAAAAGAAGGAGCTTCATGTTGTAACGAAGTTGAAGGGCCAGGTAGGTTATTTAATTTAGGACCAGAACTCCCAGAAGTAATGATGGTATGCATTAGGGGAACTACATTGCCCATATCAGCAGATGGGCAAACAATAGCCAGAGACCCAACTGTATAAATCGCTGTAACTGCTTTAGACAATGCCTTGGAAATTGCTACTGATTTCCTGCCTTTCCTAGTCCCACTTCTGGGAGGAGTGAAGAAGCTTCCTTCCGCATTTTTTTCTGAATTATCTGAAATGAATTTTTCTATTATTGCAGAAGCCCTGGCGAGAACTTGGTCGATCCATTTCAAGATTAATGATTCTGCCTCTTCGAGATTTGAAGCTTTCCGCTTGCATAATGTTTTTAGTGCTTTTAAATGAGCGTCAACCTATCAAGAAAAATTAACAATTCAATATGGTATACTTTTTAACTATATGATTTACATAGCGTCAACCTGAACCATTACCATTCTGTTCTGCCTCCCCACCTGAGTTTAACTTGTCCAGATTTATTAATTCGGTTACCAACTAATTTTTTCAATGAAAATAGTAGTTCCATTTACTATTAATAAATCTATTATGCCAGCGCTGTTCCATATACAAGTAAGATAGCTTGGCTAATTGCCCAAGAAACTAAGATAATCATGGAACTAATATTTCTTTATTCAATGAAAATGCTGTATAAAGAGTTTTCAGTTTTTTTCATTGTGGGGCTAGGAGTGTTAGTAGAACAAAGATAGGACATGAAAATAGAACTCAGAATGATATTTACACAGTTAAGACCATGCAGAAGTGTTAGTTT